CTGTTCTGCTCGGAGCTCTTGAGCAATTCCTCCTTCCAGCAGCCCAGCTGCAGCCGGGGGCAGGACGGGCTCTGCTGCAGCGGGCAGGGAACGCTGCCAAGGCCTGAGAGCTGCACGATTTAATCCTGGGCAGAGCCAGGCTGGATTTCAGTGTTTGCTCAGGCCCCGGGAGCACGCAGAGCTGCTCCTCTGACGCGGGATCACGGATTTCGCTTCCGTTTGTTCCCCCGCGCCACACCATCCCCCGTGGGATCATCATGGAAATCTCACACCGCAGCTCCGGAGGTGCTCAAAGAAACAAACCCGGCCCGAATTTCTCCGACCGCCCCAATGCTGCCACGGCCTTGGTGCAAGGCAGGGGTGAAGCAGGAGCTCCCTCAGCTGCTGCTCCTCGCAGGTGCTGCCCACCTCGCCGGCCAAGCCCTCGTTAATTAAAGTGGCCTGCTCAGGGTTATAATTAATGTTCCTTGGCAGCTGGGAGCCCAGGACCAGGGGACAGCTCAGCCTGTGGGATTTCCCTCCAGGCAATGGAAAACTGGAGGCATAAAGGGGGTGCTGGAAGCGGGGTTTGGGCTCAGCTCGGGCACCAGTAGGAGCTCTCCAGAGTGCAGAAACCCAGAAGGACATTTCAAACATTCCCATCCCAGAGGGTCCAGGCTCATCCAGCTCCTTCTCCCATCTTTTCAGGGGGGTTGTCCATCCTTCAGGAACATCCTGGGGAGGAAGGAGGGGACATTTCAGCCAGGTGGGAGTCAAGAGGCAGGAGCTGGCTGGGAAGGGAGATGGGAGCTGGGAATCATGGAATGCTTGTGTGGAAAGGGACCTCAAGGGACCACCCAGTCCCAGGGCAGGGGCACCTCCCACTGTCCCAGGCTGCTCCAAGTTCCTCCAACCTGGAGCAGTCACAGCTGCTCTGGGAAATCCATCCCAGGGCCTCCCCACCCTCACAGGGAGGAATTCCTTCCTCACATCCAATGCAAATCTTGCCTGATTTAGTTTAAAACCATTCTCCCTTGTCCTATCCAGGTTTCCATCTCTCATGCTCCAATGGATGTTGGCAAGGCTCTGCCTCTCAAGGGCAAGGAGGTTTTAATTCATTTTATTCTCCAAACCCCTCTCCATGCATTCCCTGATGTTCCCAGCCTGCATGTTAATCCTCCACCCAGGGACCAGGGATTTAGCACTAATAATCCACGCATAATTCAGTGGCCTGGGGTAAATTCCTGAATTTTTAATGTTTTATTTTGAAGTCCACAACACGTCTTTCACTGCCAGAGATTTTTTTTCCCTCTTGGGATGGGGGAGAGAGTATTTACCGAGGGCTTCTGGGTGTGCCACTGTGGATGTTGGTGCAGCAAATCCTTTAATTATCCCATCAGGTTCCCTTTCCTTTGGTTTTGAAGTGATTGAGTGTTCAGCAAAGTTGTTTTAATCCTGCAAAATCCCTGGTGGATTTGGCTGGGTGTGGCCTGGACAGAGATTTTTTATTACCATTATTTCTCAGTCTGAGTGTTAAAGGGAAGAGTGAGGAGGTGAATGGCCAGAGCTGGATGGGTGTGCCAGACACCTGGATCTGGGATCTTTTCCCTGTGGAGACAATTAACACCTTGAGGGACTCTGGCACGTTTGGGAGCTGCCAGCTCAAACAGGAGAAAAGGATCCAGGCTTGGGGCAGCGTTCTGGGGGAGGGATGGTCCCTGCAAGCCTGGGGGATCTGCTCTCCATCCCTGCAGGCTGGGCAGAGTCATCCTCATCTTCTCCAGGACCCAGCAGAGCCCTGAGGTCTCTCCAGATGGTTTTCCTGGCTCAGGAAGGATCTCCCAGATGGTTTTCCTGGCTCAGGAAGGATCTCCCAGATGCTTTTCCTGGCTCAGGTGCCTCCTCAGAGCCCCACGGGGCTGGCGCCTGTTGGTGCTGGATTTGGTGCCAGGCTGGGCCAGGAGGGCAGAGCGAGAGCCCCGGGTGGTGATGGACCTTGGACACGGCCTGGAGCTGGGCCAGGGGGGATCAGGCTGGAGATCAGGGCAAGGCTCTTCCCCCAGAGGGTGCTGAACATCTCCCCGGGGATTGCCCACAGGCCCCAGGGCTGCCAGGGCTCCTGGAGCATTTGGACAACACTCTCAAGCACAGGGTGGGATTTTGGGGTGTCCGTGCAGGGCCAGGGGTTAACTGGATGATCCTGGGGGTCCCTTCCCACTGAGGTTGTTCCCTGAACAGAGCAGGGCAGGGGCTGGTGTCTCTTCCCTGCTGTTTTTATCCCAGAGGAGCTGCAGGGGTTGTTGCTTTGCAGGGAGTTTTTCCTCTCCCAGACCAAACGTTTCACCTCTTTGAGCCTTTCTAGGCTGGGATGGAGCGTGTGGATCTGGAGTTAAGGCCCCAAGGATTGGCTTGGCTGGGCAGCGGAGCCCTGGGGCTTCCTGAGGGATTGGTGCCACAAAGCACCCGGAGCTCCTGTTCCCAAGACCCTGGCCCCTTGGCCAGCCCCTGCTTGGAGGGGGTCACCACCTGAGTGTGTTGGACGTTCTTTACCTGTCCTTGTGCTCAGTTTTTATCCGTGGCTTTTGCCCATCCTTGTTCTTGGTTGTTTGTCCATCCTCACCCTCGCATCCTGAACCGTGCTGGGCTCAGCTTCTCTCCCTCCCCTGGGACCTGCCCAGGTTTCTCAGCCCGTGCCCAGCCCCAGGAGAACGCAGCCCTTGAGGAGCCGGTGCTTAAGTGGCCCTTAACTGATTCGAATAATCCTGACAGGTCCTGCGGAATCGCCCCTTTCCGACTGAATGGCTCGGGCTGGGTCCGTGTGGATGCCAAGGCTGCTTTGCTTGGCTGCATTCCTGCCCTTCCAGCTCGTGCTTTCCTTTAACCCTTCCTTTCCCGGCTCCTCCGCAGGATCCAGGAACGGGGATGGTTTTCCCACCCCGTTGTTTCCCTGCAAAGATTCCTCACCTTCTCTGCGCTGGGCCTGGGGAGCCTGGATTTCATCACGGTTTGTTTTTTTTTTTTTGTTTTCCCTTTCCCTGGCAGAGTGTTCAGAACAGCTGATTTATTGTTTGTACCTCTGCCTTTGACCTGTCAAACTCAGGAGCGACTGGAAGGGGCTGGGGAGGGACGGGAGGGGGGATGGAGGGGCTCAGCTCCAAATTGTCTCATTTTGGGGAACAGAGAGCGTGGCTGCTCTGCTGAGAGCTCCCATTCCTCTCCACCCCTCTCCCGGGGTCCAGGTGGAGCCTGGGCTGTGTTTGCACTGTGCCTTCTCTGTCCTGGGCCCGTGGGATCCACTTCACCCTTCTGTTATGTGTAATAAATATAATTCGCGCCATTCCTTGTATGAAATATGTAATATTGGATACTTGTATTAGACCCCCCCCTTACAGGCGAGACTGGATGTATATTGGAAACTGATTTACAAGTAAAAGGATGTGGCTCGGCCAGGAGATGGGCCAGGTCTGGGCTCCAGGTGTTGATCATTGGTGCTGATCCTCCGAGATGGATAAAGAAAATCTTATTAACCTATAGACTCTGAATAGAAGAAAAGACTAACTGCTCAAATCTTGGCCTCAGGCGGAATTTTCCCTATAAAAACTGCCTGTGCCAGGATGGAGGTGTGGGCATAGGAGAAAACCTCTACTGAGGCTGACTCCTTGTTGCACACCCAGGGTTGACCCCGGGCTCGGCTCTGTTCTTTCCGTGTGGCTGGCTAGATAGAATTTGACCGCAAAAAAAATTATTTTTATTTTTAATTTGTCTGAATAAATTCTTATTTATAACACTTCAAAAGGGGCAATTTTCCCCATGTCCTGCTGCCTGTGGCACAAGAGCAGATGTCCCCATCTCCCTGTGCCCTGAGGTTCCGTCACAGCAGTGATTCCCTGATTCCCTCAAAGCCCCTTCCCCTGGATGCCCATTTCCCCCTGTCCATGGGCTTGGATCAATAACACCGATCAATAATCTGCTGGGGGGTGGGGCTGCCAGGGCACCTCCAGACCCTCCCTGTGCCCCCCTGGGCCTGCAGCGGCCGGAGGGGACAAGGGTGGGACACAGGAGCTGTCCAGTGTGGGAATCCTCCCTCCTGCTCTCTGCCCGAGCCCGGCTCAGGCCGTCCCCTCTTGTCCCACTGGAGCCTCCAGCCCCCCGCAGCACCCCCAGGATATTCGGGAGCTGCTCCCACGTTGGCTCTGAGGCTGCAGCAAAGGCTCCTCAGAGTCTCCCTCCCTTTGCAAACCCCACTCCTGAGGTTCAGTAGCTCTGGGGCAGCAGCTTCCCAGGCCTGGAGTGGGGCCCTATGCCTGCATCCTCCCTATACCAGGATCATCCCCGTTCCTGCATCCCCAACCCTGGGTTATCCCTTTCCCTGAATCCCCACATCCTCCCCATCCGTGCACCCGCCTACTCCCATCCCATCCCATCCCAT